GGCTAACCTGTTACCCTTTTGTATGTCGGTGGGGGGCGGGACAGGCCGGAGGGGGCGGGGTGGGGGGGCAGGGGAGGATCCAACCAGAAATTTCTAACTTTTTGTTTTTAATTATTAATCCCCTTCTGCTGTGGTTTCTTTTGTCAGTTTTTAAATTTTTTTAAATTGTGTTTTTTTTAAACTTTTACTTTTTACCTCTTGTGTATATGTAGGGAATTTATAGGGAAATATGTACTTTATGGAATAAATTTTAAGAACTAAAATATATTTTATTTTAAATAAAGTAATGGACCTTTAATCTTACACAGCTAAATTACTGATTATATATTTGCTGAGCTGACTTAAGGGTTCAGAAAATTGTATCAAGAGTTTTATTTTTTGACTTCAAAGCCTTCTTAATAAAGTCTTTTTACTACATGTGAGCCCTTGGCGTGGTGTGGGGCGGGTGGGCCTGGGAGAGGGAGGACCAGGGGAGGGGTGCTCAGAGCCAGCCCCCTCATCCCCTAATCTTCCAGATAAAGGAATTTGGACTCAGGATACCCCATGCCCAAGCCCAGGCTCTTCTAAAAGCCCGGCACTGTGCCTAGTTTCAGATGAGGGCATTGGGTCTGGAAGGGAAGGTGGTGCAGCCAGACCCGCCCTTTTCTTGAGGCTCAGGTTCCCTACATTCCAGGGGTCGGACAACCATGGGGCCGGCTGTGGCCACTGTGGAGGGAGGAGTGCCAGGCTCTGTGATGTGTGTGTGCGGGCACTCCCAGTCCCATTGTGCAGAGAGGAAACTGAGGTCTGGAAATCCCACTCCCAGATGGGTTCTAACACCTCCCAGTCTCCGAAGGACATGTGAGTGATGACCACACATGCCATCCCTCCCTCACCGGGTCTAGTTGGGAGCAGAGGACCATGCCCATGGGGCCACTAGACAATTCAGGGCCGGGTTGGCCCTGGAGTCAGGTCTGTGGGATTATGGGTTGAACCACCTGCAGTCAGCAGGTGCCACCAAAGTTCCCAAGGAGGGGAAGAAAGCTCTGGAGTGAGTGGAGGCATGGGACTGCTCCAGAGACAAGCTGGGGAGCCAGGGGCCCATAGGCTGCTGGCTTGAGTGGGCACTGAGGAGGGGTCTGCAGAACAGAGCCTGCTAGGAAAACTAGGAAGGCATGGTGGAGCAACCCGGAGGGCCTCCAAGAGGAGGCGAGGGGGTCAGGAAGACAGGTCAGGTGGGGCAACAGGAGGGGACAGACGGATGGGGCACCCCATGAGCCTTGTCTCCAGTGAGTGGTGGCCACGTCAGCTTCTCCAGCTGAGTGGCAGCCCCTGGAGGCTGCAGGACCTGGGGTGAATCTTAAAGAGCCACACATACCTGGGGTTCCAGCCCACTCTGGCTGGAGTTTCCCCATCTGTGAAACGGGGATACTCCACACTTCCAGCTCTGGTGAGGATCGTGGGTGGAAGCAGTTGAATCATGGCCCCGGAACCTGTGAATGGACCTTATTTGGAAAAATGGTCTTTGCAGATGTAATTAAGGATCTTGAGATGAGCCCTAAGTCTAATGACAAGTGTCCTTATAAAAGACCTACAGAGGGGGATTCAAGACTCAGACACAGAGAGAGAAGCCATGTGAAATTGGAGGGAAGCCCAGCAGCGCCTGGAGCCCCCAGAAGCTGGAAGAGGCAGGGAGGACCTTCTCCTGGAGCCTCCAGAGGAAGCCAACAGTGGGGGAACAAACGTCTGTTGTTTTAAGCCACTGTCTTTGTGGCAATTTGTTACAGCAGGCCACAGGAACCAGTGCGGGTTGGTGGGCAACATGGAACCTGGGGTCTGGCCCACAGTTCAGTGGAGGGGGGGGTGGACATGGCTGCCGTGGCACCTGGTGAGCTGCGGTGAAGTTAGACCATAGCCCTCACCCTGCAGGAGGTTATGGAGGCAGTGGGAGGTGAGAGTGTGGAGACCATCCCCCTGACATTTTGGACACAAAGAGAAAGAGAAAGCAGTCCCTTGAGGGGCTGAGGGGTCGAGGGAAAGACAGGACATCAAGGGGGTTGAAAGTCCTTGGGAAGGAGATGGGGGCTGGAGCCCAAGCAAGGGGTTTCTGAAAGGTGCAATGGGGGAGGGCCTGATCTGAGGACATTCTGTCTTAGAACTGTCCAGAAATGTCTGAGGGATGTGCTCGCTCCCTCCTGAGGGGTTGTGAAGCCGATCATTGGGAGGCCAGAGTTGCTGGTGCCCTTGGGGAAAGCTGAGAGATGGCCAGAGGTGGACTCTTGAGCTTGCCATTTGAGGCCCTGGATCCAGCTGTGCCTGAAGGCAGACCATCCCAACCTCTCAGCCATGAGTGCCAGTAAACTCTCCTGCTTTGCTTAAGCCAGTGTAAGCTGGAGTAACTCAAACTCATAACCACCTACAGGGACCATATTCCTGGCCAGAGAGCTGGGGAGCATTTCCTGGGGTGAGAGGTGCTCAGCAAAAGCAAAGCAAATACCCCATGCATTTAGCTTCTTCACAACTAGACACACTCAGGGAAGCCAAAGTCTGAGGCAAGCTTCCATTGCCCTTGTCACTCGTCTTTCTTGGTTCATGGGCTCAGCACATTGAGGTGACCCTTGTCCAGTGTCTTCTGAGAAAGCCTTTATTCCGGGTCTCATCAGATTTCGGGAGATGATGAAGGATAAGCCTGTAGTTCTCCCATCTGTGAGATTGAGCCACCCACAAAGTGGGCTCAGGGTGGGAATGCTGTGTCACCTGCATGACCATGTGTGTCCCTGGCAAGTCCCTGGGATGGGAATGGTAAGTCACCTCATGCCCACCCTGTGTAGGGAAAACCAGGAGCTCTAGAGACAGACATTGGAGTCGCATCCTGGCTGACCACTTTCCTGCTTCATGCCCCTGGGCATGTTATCTCCCTGGCCTCAGTTTTCTTATCTTAATCATCTGCAGCTGAGTACGAAGGCTGGCAGATGTTAAATGCTGGTCTGTAGTAGTCCCCACCCTGCATCTCTGCCCTCAGCTGAATACACTCTGGAGGGGATCAATTCAGATATAAACCTTTGAGGCCAGAAAAAAAAACCAAAAAACCGAACAGGAGAAGAACAAACAGTGCCTGGAAACTGGAATGTGCTCAGTATTTGTTGGGTGGTTGGATGAATAGGTAGATTGTGAGTGAATAGTGAATGGATGGATAGATGGTTGGATGGATGGATGGATGGATGGGTAATGGGTGGATGGATGGATGGACAATGGACGGACAGATGGTTGGATGGATGGATGATGGATAATGAGTGGATAATGGATGGATGGATGGATGGATGAATGATGGGTGAATGATGGATGGGTGGATGATGGATGGATGGTAATGGATGATGGATGGACAGATGGATGGATGATGGGTTGATGATGGATGGATGATGCGTGGATAAGTCAGAACTTCAGAGGAGGAGAGATGAATTCTGCTTGGAAATTCAGGGGAAGGCTAGATTGAGGGGTTGATTGGTCTTGGGGGACAGTGTGGCAAAGACTTGGAAGTGATATGGGATCACTGGTCACATTCAGGGAACAAAGAGTAGTCAGAGGGACAGGTTAAACTAATGGGACACAAGGTTGAAATGCCTTGGAACATGGCCTTGGGACTCCTTCTAGCTCACCCATCCCAGTCAGGTCTTTCAGGGCAGCCCCCATTTTTGCTACAGCCTGCCTGGTCCCTGGAGCCTCCCCTTTACAAGGAGAAAGCCACACCAGCCCCTGCTGGCCTTCAGTGGCCAACAGAATTTAAATGTAAATGTGAACAGCCACATATGGCTGATGGCTCCTACACTGAACAGCATCACTCTAGAATGTTCCAGTCCAGCATTGTCCAATAATGGGACCATGATGGGAATGTCCTAGATCTGCGCTCTCCATTACAAGAGATGCCGGCCACACCAAGTGATTGAACATCTGAAATATGGCTTGTGCATTTCAGAAACCGAACTTTTAATTTTGTTTTAATTAAATTTAAATAGCCACAAATAAAAAAGGGAAAGCATCTAGGGAAAGTACTTTGCTATGCAAACTTTGAAATACTTTTAATCCAGGGAAGCAGGAAGGCCAGAGTGCCTAGAAATTGTGGTAACTGTGTGTGTGCAGAGGTCCTGATCAGAGTGTCTCTAAAACAACCAAGGCCACAGAGGAGGGGGTGACCCTGGGTTCCCGGGGGGCCCAGCATCCTCATGAGGTCCTCACGAGGAGGAGGCAGAGGGTGGGAGTCCCAGAGATGGGCAGACCCTGCGCTGCTGGTGGTGAGGATGGGGGGGGGCTGTGGGCCAGGAAAAGGCAGGAGCCGGGTCTCCCTGGGGCCCTGGGGAGGTGACAAGCCCTGCCCACGCTGGGGTTTTAGGACTTCTGAACCCCGATTGTAGAGAGTCAGTGTGAGTGGTTTAAGCAGCCAAGTTTATGATGAGTTGTGCAGTACTCCCAGGAGACTCACACGGCTGGGGTAGAGTTACCCCAAACCCTTGCAGACACAGCTGACCCTATGGCCTGCACAGGGGGAAAAAATGAGCTAAGACATCTTGTGG